GACAACCCCGGGCCACCCCCCTGCTCCCTCTCCCTACACACACAATTTCAACTGGAACCCTACAAATTAATCAACCATCAAGACAGATTTAACACCACCAGAAGAAGAGCTGTTACAGTAACTATTCTGAAGTGTCTGTCCCTCTACTGCAGATGAGCACATGCCTTACACCTGCAGATTTAATCGCTTTAAAAAGCTCAACATTTATTAGGACAAGATACATCACATACTCCATCACCTCTAATGGTGAACAGGGATGTACAACAGTTCCTGCTAATAAGCTGAAATTCATAGTCTTTGACTATTAGGAAGGAAGGGGAGATGGTGATAATTTCATTCAGTATGTTGAGTTCAATACTAAGCAAGGACCACTGCAGAGCAAGGAACAGTTTTAAAGTCAGTGTGGATCTTGTATGCATTCAGCAGAATGATAGGAATAATGAGTATTAATATACTATTCTCACATGTAAGCATCTGATCAAAGTACTGAATATGTAGTATACTTGAAGACAGTGCAAAGACACATTCCACGAAACATGTAAGGTACTGCTCAGCGTATCCCTTAGCTCATGAGAGCAGAACAGTGGGCAGATTGAGCACTGACATTCTGATGGAAGATTGTTATAAAGCCTGAACAGCAATGGCTACAGCTAAGATCTCAGGAACAGTCGGAAAGAACATACCGTAAATGTTAAGATGTTAAAGAGAGGCAAGGATCGTGTTCTCCCCCAAACTAGGCTACATTGGTACTTTGTTCACTGAAACTTCAACTACCTTGACATAGCTGCATGGTCTTTAGAAGTCAGAATTCTCCACAAACTAATCTCGTAGAAGCCCAAAGAACATTATCACCAGAAACACTAAGATAAGGTATGTGAAATTTCTTGGATCCAAACTTCTAACAGACAATTTTGAGATTCTGTGCTGGACTGGATACGAGATTATATATCCGTTAGGTAGCAGAAAAGAGCTTTAAAACTTTCCTATAAGCCATTACATCTGTTACCGATATGCAGATACCCCTGTCACATAACATGCTATGCTTTATTTGGCATAACATCATCAAAACTGCAGAGCATATTTAGCACCAGGAACTACACCAGACAAAAATGAGACTGCAAAAACATACCTAGAATTATTTTTTACTTGGCAGAGACTGTTTATCAGGCAGCAGACATTCTCCAGCACTACTCCAGGACTTTCTGTGCTAATAAAAAGCAGCTTTCCAAAATGCTTAAGCAAGAAGAAATCCAGGTCACTAGTTACAGAGTGCAAGTCTAGAACAAAAAAGCACTTGGGAGGGGGGGAAGGAAAAAAAATTGCATTTTCGAGAGTAATTTGGTCACTGCTTAGGTTCTCAGACTGACACCTGCAACTAGTCAGAACAAGTAGAGAGCTGGGGGCAAAAACAGTTCATTTAATCTGGTTTCAGATTCTCATAATAATCACTTAGCTTGATGAAGGTTAAAGCAAGGTTTCCTAATGCCAGAGGCTTATTTTCTATTGTGGAACAGTTTGCAGCAGTTTTTAGTATTTTGCAACTTACCTGTTTGCATGAGTAAGTGACGAAGACATACTGCCTTTTTGGCAGGCAGCATACGGTATCTTAAATACCTGCACAGCGGAATATTTCATTTAGAAAAGACTTATGACGTAGATCAGTTTGCTAATTACAAGAATCCAGAGAAATGTATGATAATTGGATTCCTTGTATCCATAGGTTATTTCCATGTTCCTCAGTGTTTGCTCCAATTGTTAGTACTTATATTTTTCACAGAGCTGAGGTAACAGGGTGGGAACTTCAGCACTCAATTTTGCAAGGAGCTGCATTAGAAGTGTCAGTGAGAGAGTCAGAGCTCTGTACTATGTACAGTAAGACAAACCCATAAACTGAACAGCTATCTCACTAATAGTGATACCAGAAGACAGATTTCTCTCCTACACAGTCTTTGATCCAACATTTACTAGCCCTCATGAAAGCTTTCTTTTGTGACTAAGATTTCACAGTTTGCTAGGACACTTAAGAAAGACAGCACAACCAGAATTTCATCAGCCAGGCAGTGCTAGCATACGGCATTTTGTAAATAGCCTTGCTGCCTTGGAAAATCCATAAAAGGATGCGGATTATAGGAATTATGATTTAGCCTCAGATCAAGCTCTTCATTTTGGGCTGTGCCAATAGCGGCCAAGAAGCGTGTTCCCCTGCAAGCTAGTCCTATATATGCAGAGATGAAAGCAATCCTCCTCCTGAACTTGAGCCAGTGTACTGAAGAAAAGTGTATACCTATAAAATATACAGGGGAAGAGAAGGCTGTCCTTGAAGGAGGCAGCTCTCCTGTTCCTCACTGGTACAGAAGTTCTCATCTTCAAAAGGATACCATCAGCATGGTCCCCAAAGGAAGGAAGGCAGCAGCATGAATGGAAAAAACTCAAGGTAGTAACTTCAAGCTCTTACATTCTGAGTATGTACAAAGATCAACAGGGTGACTTCTAAGTGTTAGATCTGGTTTATGGCAATCCACTCTCCAGAAAAACCTACTCCTTTTCATTGCTCTATTCTGACACCTTCTCTCCTGCTGCTCAAATGCATAACCGTTGGTATCTCTGAACTGCCCGAAAGTCCAAGACACCAGGAGCTTTGTCTATTCAGCTGCTGAGCCATATTTACAGAATAAGGCAAAATCTGCAGTGCTGCCAGAACTTCCAGGAAGCAAATCTTTAAAAACCATACAGAATGCTATATTATAGCCAACTAAATTGATCACTGTTATAACCAACTATTAAACTATAGGGTTTAATAAGAATTCTAGGATGACTATGAGCTTTGATAATGCCTGCATGCTTAACATACAATGTTAATATTGCTTTCAGGACATTTTAACAAGTATGTGCAAGGCCTCCGGACTTACGGCCAGTGTACAGTGATGCGATGATTTCAGAATATAGTTACCTCTGTGCTAGAGTGGACAGCTGGAACTTCAGTAGAAGCTGAAGTTCAGGAGGGGCAATATGACCAAGTAAAGTCACAAGTTGCCAAGCCTGTTTCCTCTTCCACAGCATATGTGAGCTGGCTTCAATTATATTGGGAGGCAGATCTCAAAAGTTAAGGTGCAGCTGATCACTATTACCAGGGAAACTTTAGCAGTAAATTGAAAAGCAAATACACTATTATCAAGTCTCTACTTCGACAGCTAGGATCTTGTAGTTGATACACAGCAAAAGATACTCTGCAGTCACACAAAATACATTTCAAGAAACAGTATCTTGATGCAGACCTTGTGCTTAAGGTGAACAGTGACATCACAGGGATGAATATTTTGCTATTAAAATAAAACCTTAATTAATGGGAAAAGATCAAACTGTCCATCTAGGATCTCCCTGCGTATTGCATTTTCTTTATGATCTATACCTTGCTTTCAGTCTTCAGTATCGAAAGTGCAGAAGATTAAATTTAAATGAACACAGAATCATTCCTGAAGAACAATCCTTCCACAAGATCAGAGCTAACACTACATGTAACCCTACAGTGATGAGATGCACCATTTTCATATTCCCTTGTTCTGAAGGTGGTACCAACGTTCACCGATTCATACCTATCTGAAATGCACCAAAAGTTTCGGCATAAATCTCAGTCATCGCATATGCTAGATGTTCCTTTGCTGGAACCTGCATACAGTATTATGCCAGATCATGCCCACAGACAGGCTCTTCAACTCTGACAGAGTTGCATTTCCATTTACTTTGTGGATGCCCAAACTGACTGCAGGTCTTTCTTGTGAAAAAGAAACTCTCAACCTTTCACTAATTTCTCTGGCATCAGGCAATACAGTTTCATCTTCAATGTCAGACAAAAAGGGACTAAGGGAAGGTTACAACCGCTCACTACCTATTATGCTGGGAGTGCAAAATATTAGGTAAATACTTGCATTTTCTCCTAAAACTTATTACAGCAAAATCCTTCTCACTGACATATTCAAACCAGGATCACAGCTAGCAGTATCACTGGCAAGCATCATGCTGTTCTTTTTCCATTAGCCAGACGGTGCAACCAAAACATCTACCATATTCACTGGAGGAGGGAGTGAAAAGACAATTCAACACAGAAAATTCAATCATATAAATGCACTGAAGAAAGTAACCAGAACAGATAATGAAGGCACTTGTCCTTCAAAAGTTTAATTCCATATTAGACTAAATTTTTGAAAGCAGTCAAGAAACAGATACTTGGACCTCTCTTGGCATCATCCAGTTACTCACTATTGTAGTTAACTGAACATTACATCTTGTTCCAGTTAATACCTCTTCAGTAGATTTACAATGAGCACCTCATGCCATGCAATGCAATTTTGTGCTTTATAATCTGCACTGCCCAATTCTGTGTTGATTTTACTCTATGCTGAAACAAAAACACCATACAGAATCTTAAGACCCTGGGAACACATCTGAAGAGACTACAGCCTGCTCTTACAGTAAGTTACAATAAAGCCCAGCAATTATTTTCAAACTGCACTTTCAAACAAGGAAGCCGACAGCAAGACTTTACATACGAAGGCCCCATTACTACTAAAACATGAACTGACTGCTTGCCTGAATATAGTAAGGAATATTATTCAGCATGACATGATGTTCATGTTTCATCTAGGGTGTGGGGAAAAAGGACCAGAATTTGACAACTGGAAATTTTGCTTGATGGGAAGATTTATGAAGATGGGTTTTTACTCTTCTACTTAATTAGCTAATGTTAACTTGGGGTTTTATGTTTTCATTACATCTAACTACTACCACAAAGAGTACCAAAGATTTAGGATGGAATTAAGACCTGTTTAATTAACTGAAATAATATTTTATTTCAGTAATTTCTCTGAGTAGGGGAAGGTATTACTTTGCTGTAGCAGCTTAGGGATAGTATCACATTAACTGCTGCTGTACCAGTAAAGGCTTTGAAGAGTAAGATAAACTCCGCTTCTTGTGAGTTTAACCCATTAAAAGACAAAGCTTACAATGTCACTGCCGGAGAGTGATGATACAGAAGAAGCAGATGAGCCGGAGGATAACTGTTGTGTACTAGCCAGTGACAAAGCCAAGCGCTGGTTGTAAGATGGTTCTGAGTCTCTGTTTTGTTGCTGTTCTCCATTGCACGGAGCTATCTGGTCTCTTATTTTCAACCTATTATCTGTTAATAAAAAACACAAGTATCATTTCAGAGCACAGAATACAAACACATGGGCCTCAAAGTCTAAGAAGAGTTGCAATTTTAACAAGCTAACTGAAAAACAGGCTCAGAGAAAACTAGCCTTGGGTTAGAAAGTTACAAATTCCTTTTATTTTTTCCTGCATTTCTGAAAGTGATTAATTTCAAGGCACGAGTACTCTGAATTACATCAAATTCAAGAAAAAATTTTATGTTGGTTTCAAAGACTCCTGCTATACCTACCAAGTTCAGGTGATAAATTAATTTTGCTCCCCCACTTCTTTTTAATCCAGGCCCTGTAGTCAATCACTTCTTGGGTCACTTTGATGATTCTACCTAATGTGCTAAAAAAATTTTTCAATTAAGTATTAAACAAAGACTGTTCATTACACATTTGCACGCATTTCAAAAAGCAATCAAATTATGCTAAAAATCAGTTTAATATATCCCTAACCAAAGAATCCTTTTGAAATTTCATTTCCTTAGCACACCATTTAACCCACTGATGTGTCACAATTTTTAAATTAGTATGTTACTTATCTTTTACTATACTAACATGCAAGCCCTGACACATAGGTAAGATTTTTTACTTTGTATTTCTAAACGGAGCACATCTTAATTATCAGGATCATACATGCAGATACTAGTGTACTTGATAAAAGCAATTTGCAGGTTCTTGCATTTCTCCATGCAGAAAATATTTTTTCCACAGAATTTGGATTACAACAGTTACGAAACGCACTGAAGACATTAACCTCCCAGCTCCTCAAGCTATGAAGAGCTTCATTAGTCTTTGCTTACAGATTTGCAAGACAACTTAAAAGGTGTAAGATCCCCACAATTATAAAGGAAGTACCATGGATCGTGAGGTAGTGGAAGCAAGAAACAGACTGGCTCCAAAACCAAAGTTAGAATTTAAGAAAATTCTTAACAGCAAATGGTACAGAGAAAAAGCCCACC